TGGAGCTCCGTTACCATCCCACTGAAGTGGTACCTATGACCTGCTCACATTTGCATGTTTTTGAACTGTTAGGTTGGCAGAAGCTTGGACTAACAACAGGAGCTCATCCTGTCACAAGGAATTGAACCACTGACATTCTGGTCAGCAAGTTCTGCAGCTTAACAGTTTAACTCACTGTGCCACTATGGCTCCCTTATAAATCATATCAAATCCATCACTTGGGCCCCAAAATCTGTCTTTGGCTTATACATGGTGTCGACTTATACATGAATATATAAGGCATCCTATGTTGCTGCATGAATTTTTGGAGATAGGATTTAGCACACTTAATAATTTATTTGAAGTTCAGATGAAAATCCAGAGCAAATTCACATCCTCTACTGATAGCACAATCACCAAGCATCACTGTTTTGGTGTTTTCAACTCTGACATAAAACACAAGGATGCTAGACTGTGAATTTTGGCAAAGCCATGGATGCAGCTCACAAGGTTTGCAGAATTCTTGAGTGTTAGTAAATTACTGAGTCATACGGCAACTGTTTTGTGATTCTCATTGAAGATGGACAACTATCGGTTGCATCTGTGTGTGAGGAATAACAAACCTCAAGCAGTGGAGCAACAATACATATATGACAGGGGATAAAAGGGGCATTACTGAAAACCTGACAAAACCCATTTTTCAAGTACACATAATCTGCTTATGACAGAATATAATAGAATGGAATAGAATATCTTTATTGTCATTCTATGAAATTACATGTCATCCCCAATACACATACAAATGTAGAATTACCAAAAAAAAAAAACCAAAAACAAAACCCACATTTCCACATTTTACTCACTATTGCACAATCACTATTTTTTAAGTAGTTGCTGATTTTGTCAACTTCTCTGGTATTTTAACAAAAATATTGTGGTCTGGTCTGGTACAGGAGGTGGTCCATGGAGTTGAGATCATGAATTACCTCCTGCATTGGGTGATGCCAATTCTAGTGATGCCACTGCTCATGAAACTATAAATTTGAGGTTATCACAGTATAGAGGAAGGACAATTAAAGTGGGATCAAAATGCTATAGTTATGCAATGTGGAAGAGAACCCTAGGAGCCACTGGTGCCTTCTACCTTTCCAAAAGTCAGCTCCTTGAATATAATGTACAAGAAAGTGGGCTCTGCATACCAGTTTACAATTTTGCATTTTGTTCCCACCATTACGGTCACATTAATGGTCAACATCACAGTAAGAATTACAAATGGCATCATCTCACATTTTGCTTACCATGGTCACAGATTTTATGAAGCAAGCATTTTTCTTCTTCATTCCAGATATCTAAATATTCATTTGGGCCACAAGGTTTGCATACAGTTTCTGAGGTGGCAGTGCATTTTGCAGACATGTACTTTCCTGAGGAGGACAGAAAGAGAACTCTTGAAAATTGGCAAACAAATCTGAAACATAGGCTTTCCATTAGGACATCATTCAACATAATACTAAAAATGAAGGTTGCCAAATGATCATTTTCAAACACTGTCCCCCAGCATGAGGAGAGGTTTAGAACAACAGTCATCCCTCCACATTCTCAGGTTAAGCATTCAGGGACTTAATTATTTGTGGGTTGCTGGATATTACTACCTCTACTGCTGCCCTACATTGGAAAAGGATGTTTTTCTGGGCTGAAACTGACTACAGGATTGCACTGGAGGACTTAGAAATGCCTACAGAAATGTTATTTCAGGTAAAAGAAGCAGTAACCGCTTTTGTCCATTCATGTGGGGATCCTATACCCCTAATCTCCATAAATCTGGAAAAATTACATACTGTATGGTGATTCATGTAGAGAACAGGAGAGAATGCTTCTAGAACATGGGCATATAGCCCGAAAAACCTACAATAACCCAGTGATTCCAGCCATGAAAGCCTTTGACAATACATCTTCCTAGAATTTCTGATTTCAACCATTGTTAAGTGCACTTGAGAATCCAAACATTAACAAGTGCACTTGAGAATCCAAATATAAATCCACTGCTTGCTTATGTGAGAAATGAGGTCAGGAGGCACATGAGAATATGTCTCTCAAATTCCATAGCGAAGCCTTCACTTGAGCTTGAAGGGCATCGTCGCCTGCCTGGCTTCTAAAGGCTGCAGCCATGACTCAGGCTCCCTTACTGAGCTTTAATGACTCAGAAACACTGTCTGCTCCGAGCATGACCCTTCCTCAGGGGAAACTCTCCAACCCCTTTCAGGCCAGAGGCACAGGAGAATATGATCATCTAGCTTTTAAACTCCAAAGCTTTGCCAACTGACCTGTTACACTTGCATTTCTCAATCATCAAATGCACACTTCTCCAGATTTTGGCCACAGTGTAGCTGAAAATATGTGTTTTCTTGCAATAAAATATTCTTGGTAAGCAATTTTAGAGATCTTTATCAAGGTACTACTAAGAATGTTTTTTTTTTTTACTTTGTTGAAAATTGCAAGTTCTTTTATTTTAATGTAAGTATCTACATTGATTGAAATTGTACTTTATTTCCTGGTGTTCCTTTCCGTATATAAAGGGCTGAATGCTCGACTGCTTCTCTTACCTGCAGCATGCAAGCAATAAACTGATACCGAGTGAAAGTCATTTTGTAGCTTCTTATCTTATCAGCTCCTAGGCAAAGCCATTATAAGAAATGCTTGGAAAAACTGAACTGATTTTCTGGGAAATGGGTATAGCACTTTCCAGTGTTCAAAGTGCTACACAACAAATTGTAACCCTGCAACAACTCTATAAGGCGACTTGGCATTGTTAACCCCTATATTGCAGCTGGGTGAACTGGAGCTCAAAGTATCTCACCTATGGCCACTTACTGAGTAGAGGCAAAAATCTGAATTGTGGGTAATACATAATACATAATGGCACGTTGCATAAGAAACACGTGTCCTCCTGTAAGACCAATCAAATTCAACAGTATGCCTTTAGCTGAGTCCAGAGGACACTTGATGGATTTCAAAAGTATGGAAAGATGGTGACAGTGTTTTGTAACTGCTTATACAGACCCTGGGGTGCAGAAGTGTGACACTTGAATTTATCTTTCCTATTTCCGTATCAGAGTAATTAAGAACATACCCTCTTTAAATGGAGAATTAGGATGTGACATGTCAAAAGGTGATGTCCCCACTCCCTTTTAAATGAAGGGGAATGCCATTACTTTTAAATCATTTTAAAACCAAGGACATTAACAAGAGATTTCTGAATAATAAGTACCATTAAAGTAGTATGTTAGCAAGGTGTAACTAATGTAATTTAAAAGTAACATGTTAACAGCATGTTATTAAGGAGTATTTTAGGTGATGAATAAAAATATGATGAAAACAAAACATTTTAACGAACAAAAACAAAATAATGCTGATAATGAAATGCAAAGATACAGAATGGAGAATGCCCATTGGGCTCAGAAGTGTTCCATATTTCAGATTGTTTTTTGTTTTGTTTTTTTGGATTTGGAATACTTTTGGCCTGCATAAATAGGAGTCTAGTGTCTAGATCCAAGGAAGTCATGCAACCTCTCTATTCTGCCTTGGTCAGACCACATCTGGAATACTGTGTCCAATTCTGGGCACCACAATTGATGAGAGATGTTGACATGCTCGAATGTGTCCAGAGGAGGGCAACCAAAATGATGAAGGGTCTGGAGAACAAGCCCTATGAGGAGCAGCTTAAAGAGCTGGGCATATTTAGCCTTCAGAAGAGAAGGCTAAAGAGGAGACATGATGGCCATGTATTAATATGTGAGGGAAAGTCACAGGAAAGAGGGAGCAAGCTTGTTTTCTACTGCCCTGGAGACTAGGATGCAGAACAATGGCTTCAAACTACAGGAAAGGAGATTCCACCTGAAGAACTTCCTGACTGTCAGAGCTGTTAAGCAGTGGAAATCTTTACCCTGGAGTGTGGTGGAGGTGCCTTCTTTGGAAGCTTTTAAGCAGAGGCTGGATGGCCATCTTGGAGGGTGCTCTAAATGCTTCTTGGCAGGGGAGTTGGATTGGATGGCCCATGAGGTCTCTTCCAACTCTATAATTCTATGAATATATTAGCTCCTAAAACGACTCCAAGCCCAAGAATTTACTGCCTCGTTCATTAAAGCCAATAGAGCATGGAAGCAAAGGCTACAGAGGAAATTAAAATACATTCAGTTTTGGGGAAGAATTAGAATGTGAGTCAGGAAAGTTTCATTCACAGAAATGACAATTAGATTGTGCAAGAAATTATATCTGTCTCCTAATCTGGATCCATCTGAGTCATATTGCTGATATTTTTTCTCTAGTTCTGAGGCAAAGCAATGTAATCCTATACATGTCTATTCAGAAATAAGTTCCATCAAAGTCAGTGATATACTGTATAGAATCATTGTTGGAAGAGACCTCATGGGCCATCCAGTCCAACCTGCTGCTGAAAAGCCTTCAAAGAAGGAGCCTCCACCACACTCCGGGGCAGAGAGTTCCACTGCTGAACAGTTCTCACAGTAAGGAAGTTCTTCCTAATATTCAGGTGGACTCTCCTTTCCTGTAGTTTGAAGCCATTGTTCTGCATCCTAATCTCCAGGGAAGCAGAAGAAGTGTGTTCCCTCCTCCCTATGACTTCCCACACATTATGCATGGCTATCATGTCTCCTCTCAGAGAGTTCCACTGCTGAACAGATCTCACAGATAGGAAGTTTTTCCTCATGTTCAGGTGGAATCTCCTTTCCACAACTCATGTTGTTGAGTTGAATAACACAACTCATGTTTACTAAATGTTTTTGGGCTGCAGTTCCAAACATTCCTCTCTTATACCAGTTTTGCTGACTACAACCAAAGTCCATCACTAGTGAGAAGCCACTAATTGGTCATCTCTAGTATACAGGATTGCAGAGTTAGCACATGTAGACCAGGACTTAGTATAATGATACTTTTAGTGTCACTTCCACAGTTCTTGCTTCTGTTGCCTTTGGGCACATCTACACTGACTAATTAATGTGGATTGGAGACAGCTTGAGAATGTAGTGTTTAAATCAGGGGTCCTCAAACTTTTTAAACAGAGGGCCAGGTCACAGTCCCTGAAACTGTTGGAGGGCCAGATTTTAATTTGAAAAAAAGCATGAATGAATCCCTGTGCACACTGCAGATATCTTATTTGTAGTGCAAAAAGCACTTAAAACAATACAATTAAAACGAAGAACAGTTTTAACAATATAAACTTATTAGTATTTCAATTGGAAGTGTGGCCTGCTTTTGACTGATGAGATAGGATTGTTGTTGTTGTGTGCTTCCAAGTAATTTCAGACTTAGGTTGACCCTGAGTGAGGGCCGGGGAAATGATCTTGGAGGGCCATATCTGGTCCTCGGGTCATAGTTTAAGGACCCTGGTTTAGATGATGTATGCCATGAACACCTGTACATTAAACACTTTGATCCAGGATAAGAAAAGTCAGGGGATACTTAAAATAGGGCCCATAATGTGCACCAGAGAACTTTATGATAGACCACTTCACAAGGTCCATGTGGAATCACACTCACAGTGAAAACTCTTCCTCCTTTGCCAGATTCACCCCCGTCTTAAGTGGTGAGTGTAGATGAGACCTCTGTTACCTTCACTAGGGAGTCATCCTTATTCAATTAATCTGCAAACCTCCCCTTTTCTTCTTTTCTCCAGACCATCCTCTCTTCCTTCCACATTAAAACTCTCTTCCCCCTCCTTGACTTCAGTGTGCTCTTTAATTACCATCTATAATAAACTCCTTCCCCTTTCTCTCTAACTTCTATATTTTTTAGTTTCAAAAGGGTTTGGCAATGAGTCTTCTTCCCTCAATCTCTCTCCCCCACATCCTTTTCTCCATTGTCTGAGACACGTCTATGCCATTGTGATCCAGGACTCAGAATAGTAATGTTTGGACTACAACACCATGTTGTACTCCAAATATTAATGTTTCCGAGCTTTATAATAGACACGTGATAGACATGTCATTGGGCTCTACTTTCTTCCATCTCAAATGCTTTACGTTCTCCATCAAATGGTAATATAATTCATTAACAAAAAAATATCGACATAAGAAATAATTTATCAATTTTTTAAAAAAGAAAGAAGAGCTTTACCCATCTATAAAAATTTTTTTAGCATTTTTACCTGGTTCACATTTGGTGCAGCATTTCCCAGCGTATTCATAGTGTTGGTCACTTTTACAAGGAGGGGTAATTTGTATGGAGAACTGAAGGGGGAAAAAGAGAGAAACAATGATATAACAGGGAAGGCCTTCTTAAGCTGAGAAATGTTTCGAGGAAATCAAAACTGTACTTCTGAATGGGTTTTGTTTGTGTTTTGAATCACTGTTGTGCACATGACATACAGACATCAGGCGATGTGTTGTTGAAGGCTTTCTTGGCTGGAATCACTGGGTTGTTCTGAGTTTTAAACTCTAAAATCAGGACAGTAAATAAATAACAACACTCGAAAACAGGGGAATTCCAGACAGGAAACCATCAGGGCCAGCTAACACTTCCCAACAAAGCATCCCCCAGGCAGGAAGCAGACAGGCTTTGAAGTTGCAAAGCCATTCAATGATAATCAGGGTGGCCAATTGCAACATTCACACTTGCTTCAAACAAACAAGAGTTCTTTCTCTCACCCTAGCCATTCCACAGATATATAAACCTGACTTGCCTAGTTTCCAACAGGTCTCACAACCTCTCAGGATGCCTGCCATAAATGTGGGCATAACGTCAGGAGAGAATGCTACTGGAACATTGCCAGACAGGCTGGAAAAACTCACAGCCACCCAGGCCAAACAAAGGCATTTTTATTTTGTTGTCCTCTCATGATGTCCCACCACGTCTTTATTTGTTTTGTTTCTCTCCACAAATAGGAAAAGAGAAAGCAAAAAAATAAAATAGCTGCACACTATTTCTTCTATTCTTAGAATCGGAGGTCTATCTATCTATCTGTTGGTGGTACTGAAATTAGTGTGCACCTTACAATCAAAGGCATCTCAGAATCAAATAAAATGCAGTATATTCTTTTATTTCTGACAAGATGTAAGCAAAATGCAGATATTCTCCATTTTCCTAGGTATCAAGACATGTACCAGTCATTTGCAAGAACAGACAAATGGCTTCTAGTATGCCAAATTGAAGGACACAGGCCCCTTACAGACAAGTCCTATATCCCAGGATCTGATGGTAGGTTTTCTGTTTATCCCAGATTAACTGACAGTGCAGACTCATATAATCCAGTTTAAAACAGAAAACCTGGGATTAGATCCTGGGATATAGAAGATAACTGTCTGGAAGGGCCCACAGTTATTGATTCTTCCTTCTCCATAGAATTTCTGTAGTAAGAAAACTGACAGAAGCAGCAGTATGGAACACAATGTTGTCTGGAGCTTCCTCCCATCACCAAGACTCAGAAAAGTTACTTTTTTTGGATTGCACTCTCAGAAGCCCTAGCCACAAAGGTTCGGGAAAGTACATCTTTGAAAATTAGCTCCAGTGTTATATGAATGAGTAAAGTGCCTACACAGTAAGAACTTCACCTGGAAGTGCACCTAGATGAGAGTCCAAGAAA